CTGGTAGTGGGCTGGGTGTTGATTCCCTGCCCTGGATGACCAACTTAATCTGGAAAGAATTTGCACATGTTAAATATTTAAGATTCCAACCATTGGATACACATGTAAATTAAATGTAGTTCTGCCCGGCCAGCGTGGCTCAGTGGTTGAGCTTCAACCTATAAACCAGGAGGTTATGGTTCAATTCCCGGTCAGGGTACATGCCCGGGGCGTGCAGGAGGCAGTCAATCAATGATTCTCTCTCATCATTGGTGTTTTTATCTCTCTCTCCCCGTCTCCCTTCCTCTCTGAAATCAATAAAAATATATTTTTAAAAAAGTAGATCTGTTATCATGGTTTTAGTCTAAAAGAGTCACCTAAGAACGCCAAATGTTGTTTTCAAGCACCATAGCTATTTTGGTTTAAAGCGTTTATTTCAGCGCCATCTCTCTTCACAACAGCAGAACTCCGGTAGTGAATTGATTGGTCGAGGATTCGAGGAAATTGTGCCTAATTTCTGGTCCCAATCTGGAATTTAAAACAAGTTAATGATTTACTTTAGGACTACTCACTCCTAAATTTTAACTCACTTTCATTTCAACAGCAATTGTATAAAATAACAAAATTTATGGGATTTAAGACAAAGGAATATGTTTCAAAGCTCTGTAAAAAAGGACTTAGTCAAAGGGTTATTTTTATTTATTTTTTAATATACTTTTATTGATTTCAGAGAGGAAGGGAGATGGAGAGAAAGATAGAAACATCAATGATGAGAGTGAATCACTGATCAGCTGCCTCCTGCATGCCCCCTATTGGGGATTGAGCCCACAACCCAGGCACGTGCCCTTGACCAGAATCGAACCTGGGACCTGTTAGTCTACAGGCCGACCCTCTATCCACTGAACCAAACCAGCTAGGGCCAAAGGATTATTTATGTGGCTTAATCTCTGGTTCATAATACTGAATGATGCAAAAATGTAATGAAAATAAATGGAAAATTTGCATTTTGACATCCTAATTCTAGATTTCCCCCAAACCCTTGAAACTTTACATTATAAATGGACCACTTTGTATCCTCTTTGTATCAAACTGCAGTTGTTACCATCCCTAAATTCATACCTATTGGCATCCTCTCCTATCTTACAGCCTATAACCACTTACAGCACATCCCCTCCTATCTTACAGTCTATAACAGGGGTGGGCAAACTTTTTGACTCGAGGGCCACAATGGGTTCTTAAACTGGACCGGAGGGCCGGAACAAAAGCATGGATGGAGTGTTTGTGTGAACTAATATAAATTCAAAGTAAACATCATTACATAAAAGGGTACGGTCTTTTTTTTTTTTTTAGTTTTATTCATTTCAAGCGGGCCATAGTTTGCCCACGGCTGGTCTATAACCACTAAGAGTTCTGCTTATGTAAAGGAGGGCTTGGGTGGAAGACCCCAGTCATTGCATCTACGCTTAATGAATCAAAGACCAGGGTGTTTCACCTGGTTGGTGTGGCTCAGTGGCTGAGTGTCGACCTATGAACCAAGAGGTTACTGGTTCGATTCCCCGTCAGGGCACATACCCGGGTTGCAGGCTCAATCCCCAGTAGGGGGCGTGCAGGAGGCAGCCTATTGATATTTGTCTCTCATCAATGTTGCTATCGCTCCCTCTCCCTCTGCCTTCCTCTCTTTCTAAAAATCAATAAAAAAAAACATTAAGAAAAAATGTTTTAACAACAGCGTTTTAACAAGACTTCATATCTACAGTGCTATGCTCTGTATTAGGTGTTTTGCTTACATTAAACTCATATTCACAGTAACCCTCAAAGGCCCACTGATATTCCCGCCATCTCAAATAGATTAATTTGCCCAAATTTACAGGACTTGGAAGAGAAGGAGCCCCCATTTGACCCAGGATTAAATGACGGCTAAGTCCCTAATCTTTTCACAGTTCTATTCCACCTCCCATAGCACTTCAACAGCATTTCAACAAACATTTCTTGATATTAAGAACAAATAACATTTCGTTTGCCCAGAGAGTACGACTAGAAATGCCATCCCTGGAGGATTTTTAAAATCTAATTTAATTAAATGTGATCCTGTATGTAATTAGTAACCATTTAACTTCTCAAGGCTTGCTATGGAGTTGAACAGCAACTCTGACCTTGAAGATTACCAAGTATTCCAGGGACATATATCAAAGTAGTTTAGAAGCGGGAGGAATCCTACCCAAGAGCCTTAGAGATCCTCATTGTAGAAGTTACAATGGAGCTGAATGATACACAGTTAGCCAGGCAAATTCAACAGTAAATGTTCGCAGAACACATGACAAACTTCTGGGGGCTTCCTTGTGACATTCCAGTTAGTGAATATATAGGCCCACAGTGAATGCTATCAAACCTGAAACATCTGATACAGATTTGGGGGTGGAAGGAACATGGGAAATGATTTTTTTAAATTTTCACACCATTTGACAAAGTGAAATTACAGTTCATATGGATTTGTGGTGGTGCCTTCTTTGAAAGTCATCATTGGAAAATAAAATGAAGCTGAGCTGGTGTGGCTCAGTGGTTGAACATCGACTCATGAACCAAGCGGTCACTGGTTCAATTCCCAATCAGGGCACATGCCTGGGGGCCTGCAGGAGACAGCTGATCAATGATTCTTCTCATCTTTGATGTTTCTATCTCTCTTTCCTTCTCCTTGCCTCTCTGAAATCAATAAAAATATGTATATATATTGAGAATGAGTAGAGTTCCTCAACAACATGTGAGGAGTGATCAGACTTGAGCTGCTTCCTCTTAAGGACATTTGTATATCTTCATTCCTGAAGTTTCTATAGAGAGCTAGGAAAGGAGGAAGACGCCCTTGGGCCGACCTCAGGATTCTTCCTGCACCGGGACACACGCCCCCCCCTTCCCTCCCCCAAGCTTGGCTGGTCCCAGACCTGCAGAGGCAAGCCTGTGGGAGTTGCTTCTCTGCGGCCCAGGCTGGGCTGGTCTCAGCGAGGAAGAGCAGTTGGCTTGACTTACCAAGCACGTAAAATGGCAGCGAATAGTGTTTTTGGTACGTGGTTTCTTTGTACCATGCTTCGGCAGGCTTGGAGTGTCTTTGAAAACAAATATATCGGATGAGAGTTTGTTGGTCTAGCTGAGGCTGACACTGACGTTTCTCCTCGGGTGGCATGGCCAAGTCTATGAGAGATCTAAACGAAAATAGAAACAGCTTGCTGAACACCCCGTCGAAGAAAAGCGTTCCATTTTCTCATCAGCTGAAATTCCTTCCCTGGAAGTAGCCAGGAGGCCACCAAGACAGTGTTGGCCAGACTCGGTCAGTCAAGGCCAGCCCTAGCCAAGCTGTCAGTAGATGGCTCAGGGGTTCCAGTCCCCTGTCCCTCCCTTTGCAGCCCTTCTCTCCCAGTCACGGGTCAGAGAAGGCAACCTGCTTTTCTTTTCCCTTCTTATTCTTTTTAAAAAAAAATATATTTTATTGATATTTTACAGAGAGGAAGGGAGAGGGATAGAAAGTTAGAAACATTGATGAGAGAGAAACATCGATCAGCTGCCTCCTGCACACTCCCTACTGGGGATGTGCCCGCAACCAAGGTACATGCCCTTGACCGGAATCGAACCTGGGACCTTTCAGTCCGCAGGCCGACACTCTATCCACTGAGCCAAACTGGTTAGGGCATTTCCTTCTTATTCTTATCTAGAAACTTAATAAAATCATTGATTGACATTTGCACTAGGTTTCCCCCTTGGCTTTTCAAAGTCAAGTATGTATTTGAGTTGGAGCAAAGGGCTTTGAACTGGGAATCAGAAAATGTGGATAGATTCCAGTCTCAGCTTTTATGCTAACCAACTGCACTTCAAACAAGGCATGACTATATCAAAGGCGATCAAGAGAATAAGGGAAATTTGTAAAATATGCCAGATGAACTCAGAGTAATAGCAATCATATTTTCAGTGCCTACTATGCTCTGGAATTTTATATCAATTATTTTGTTTAACAGATAAGAAAACAGAGTCGGAGATGCAATGAAAATTGTCCAAGATCAAACATTTCATAAAATTACTCAAATTGCTGCTTTTAACTCCCGTGGTTTCCAACCTCTACACACTAGAACGCAACATCAAACTATCTTTTTTGTTGTTGTTAAAATGATATGCACAGAGGCAGAAACCATTTAGGTCAAATTTGTCATTTTACTGGGAAGGGAACAGACTCGGGAAAGTTAAATTATTTGACTAAGTTGAAACTAAACTCATGGTGATTTCATTTCTTAGATAATTTCGTAAAGTTCCATATTTATTGCTGACTATACAAATATATGCTCATTAGAAAAAATCTGGAAAATATAAAACACAAATGCCATTCATCTCACAAATAACTATTGTTATCAGCTTGGTGTATTCCCTTCTAACCGTTTTCTATCCATCAAATAATTATTATTGTTCTCATACTCATTTTTGTTATTACAAAGTGTGATTCCCATTTTTTTAAAAATGTATCATTCTAACTTGAGTGTAATTGTTAGGTGTCTCACCTGGGAGAGCTCCTTACACTGGAATCAACATGGATTCGTGCCAGCTGCCCAGGGAGGTAGCCCAGGAGGTCCTTGCCTTGATGAGCAATGAATGGGCTGGTGGAGAAAGTGAGGGTGAGAAAGAGGCAATTACTACGATCAGTTCTTTAGAGAGGAGTGCCAGCTGTGATGTAATTAAAGAAGATATTCGGTCTTTGCCCCCATTTCCTGGCACAGAACTCCTTGAACTCCCCCCCCCCAACTTTTTTTTTTTAATATATTTTATTGATTTTTTACAGAGAGGAAGGGAGAGAGATAGAGAGTTAGAAACATCGATGAGAAAGAAACATCGATCAGCTGCCTCCTGCACACCTCCTACTGGGGATGTGCCCGAAACCCAGGTACATGCCCTTGACCAGAATCGAACCCGGGACCTTTCAGTCGGCAGGCCGACGCTCTATCCACTGAGCCAAGCCGGTTTCAGCCCAACTTTTAATTAATTAGTTAATTAATTACTTTTTATTTCAAGACTATATTTATTTTAATTACAGTTGACATCAAATATTGTGTTGGTTCCAGGTACAGAGCATAGTGATCCCCCTGACAAGTCTAGTACCTGCTTGGCACCACACATAATTATTGCAATATTATTGACTACCTTCCCAATGCTGTACCCCCCTGGACTTTCTTGATGGGAGTGTCTTTTTTATCCAGTTTTCAGGAATCATTTGATGTGTCAGTTTCAAAATATCAGGAAAAAAAATACAATGATATTTAAAACCAGTGGGGCAAATGTTGATCATATGAAAAGTGGGAATTAGAAAATGGGGGTTTCTTATATTATTTTCTCTACTTAAATATATGTATATATTTAGATAAGAAGGGAGAGGGAGCGAGAGAGAGAAACATCAATAATGAGAAAGGATCATGGATCGGCTGCCTCCTGCATGCCCCACACTGGGGATCAAGCCCTCAACCCTGGGCATGTGCCCTGACCGGAATTGAACCGTGACCTGTTGGTTCATAGGTCGATGCTCAACCACTGAGCCATGCCAACCAGGCTATAATACACTTTTTATTTTAGAAAGTTGGTGGAAAACAAATCTGAGGACAATCTGACTAGGAGTAGAAAGGCTGGTAGGAGGAGATTTTAGTGGTTTTGTGGGGTGTGGTGAAGCTCTGAGCAATGTGTTGGAAAGGTGGATGGAGAGGAGAGGATGGAGCGGGGATGCGTTAGGAGAGAGGATTGAGGTAAAAGATGGGAGCTGTCCAAGGCCAGTCTTAGGCTTTAGCATTGGGAAGATGCTGCCATTCCCTGGGAGAGGGGACACAGGACGATGGCCATTGTTGGATGACTACAGGGTTTGTGATATGTGCAGTCTGTTAGGGCCTTCCGCAGATTCTGAGTACTCAGTAGGAACTATAAGAACTCCAGGGAAGAGTCAGTAGCAAAACCATGAAGTAGCTCGCCAATATGTGTTGGCAATGAATGGAAACTTAAGCTATGTACCTCCAGTCCAAACATCACTTATGGAATGTATGTAAGCTACTCTGCACACCCTGCTAAGTTCAAGCTGACTCAGCAGCAGTTCTTGTCCTCAGAATGCTCTTTAGGTGCCGAAATAGTGGTCTGAATGAAGGGTCTAGGGCAGTGGTTCTCAACCTTCCTAATGCCGCAACCCTTTAATACAGTTCCTCATGTTGTGGGGACCCCCAACCATAAAATTATTTTCGTTGCTACTTCATAACTGTAATTTTGCTACTGTTATGAATCGTCATGTAAATATCTGATATGCAGGATGTATTTTCATTGTTGCAAATTGAAGATAATGAAAGCATAGTGATTCATCACAAAAACAATATGTAATTATATATATGTTTTCCAATGGTCTTAGGAGACCCCTGTGAAAGGGTTGTTCGACCCCCAAAGGGGTCACGACCCACAGGTTGAGAACCGCTGGTCTAGGGTTTGAGGAGGCAAATAGGATGGGGAAGAGATTCCAGGTGAGGCAATTTCAGAAGTCAAGACTTGGACAGAGCCCTAGACGGTTTGGCTCACTGGATAGAGCGTCGGCCTGGGGACTGAAGGGCCCCAGGTTCGATTCCGGTCAAGGGCATGTACCTTGGTTGCAGGCACATCCCCAATGGGGGGTGTGCAGGAGGCAGCTGATCATGTTTCTCATCGATGTTTCTAACTCTCTATCCCTCTCCCTTCCTCTCTGTAAAAAATCAATAAAATATATTTTTAAAAAAAGACTTGGACAGAGTTGGGATCAGAGCGGGGCATGTGGGGACCGGTGGGGTCCCCGCTTCCTACCTGGTATGAAAGGCAAGCTCTGTGGGTAGGGCGGGTCTGTCTGTGCAAACAGGACCTCTGGGAGCTCTGATTTTCAGAGAAACCACAGGCTGTCTGGGCCTGCCCAGCCATGGATAATATGACTGAGGCCTGGATAGAAACTAACAGCAGGGACTGAGTCATAAGGAGAGGAGTTGGCACAATCCTGGGAACAAATGACATCTCTGGGTGCCCCGATGGGAGTCCTGGCTTCCGTAGGCGCCAACCAGGTCTGAATGGTTCCCTAGGGCCACGTGCCAGTGTATTAGACGCCAATGGAGCTCCAGAGCGACACTGGCTTCTCACGGCTGCTGTGCTGTTGGCTGGGCTGTGCCCCGACCATGGACTCTTCTTCCCTCCCGTGCACACGGCCAGTACCTGCCGAGCGCAGGTGGCAGCCCAAGCCCAAGCTGTTTGGGGGAGGAGCCCTTCACCAGCACCAGCTAACGCTCTGCCATCCAGCCTTTGGGAAGGTCCCTGGGCGGGTTTTGGCCCAGGAACGGACCGTGGGGACGTGTGTGAGGAGGAGGGTGTTGGGGGGTGGGGGCGGAAGATGGGACACTTTGCCTCTAACTCCGTGGTTAGACTTTCCAACCCCTTCTATGTGGCCTTCACACAGGAGAAAGCTCCCAACGAAGAGGCTAAAACATCTGTTTTTGGAAGAGAATTGCTGCCTCCTACAGCAGTGGTTCTCAACCTTCCTAATGCTGCGACCCTGTAATACAGTTCCTCATGTTGTGGTGACCCCCAACCATAACATTATTTTTGTTGCTACTTCATAACTGTAATTATGCTACTGTTATGAATCGTAATGTAAATATCTGATATGCAGGACGTATTTTCATTGTTACAAATTGAACATAATTAAAGCATAGTGATTAATCACAAAAACAATATGTAATTATACATGTGTTTTCCGATGGTCTTAGGAGACCCCTGTGAAAGGGTCGTTCGACCCCCAAAGGGGTCGCGATCCACAGGTTGAGAATCGCTGTCCTACAGGGAAATGCCTCGCCTGGCTGTCAGTCAGCACCGGGCCTCTCCCAGGGTGGCTGGGTGTGGGGCAAACCGATTGATGCCTGGAAAGCACGTGCCAGCTCTCCGGCCTGGCCAAGGAGCCCTGCCCAACTCGGCTCCCACCCCCTCGGTTTCTGCATCAGCTGCACACAGGCCTTTGCTCTCCGGGGAGGGGGCAGGAGTCCCCTATGTCTGATGCATTATTTACAGTCCAGGACAGCTCGGCTCTCTGAGGCGACGCGTTCAGTTCAGACAAGAGCAGACCTGTCCCCTGGGAGGGTGACTGTAACCGCAGACACCATTCGATATGCCCCGGGGAGGTCGGGAGTGTCAATCCCTCAGGAGCCTGGCCCTGCCGCCCGAGGGGGCTGCAGCTGTGACTGCAATTCTCTGTTATGTCTGCTGCCTGCTGCCCAAGTGTCTGTGCAGAGATGATCTCATCCAATTCTCACGGTCACCTTGCCAGGTAAATATTTACACCTGCTTGTGGAAGAGGAGACTGAGGTTCAGAGAGTGGACTTTCTAAATATTCCCCAGCTAGCAACTGCCAGAGCCAGGACCAAACCCAGTTCTCCAAACTCCATCTTGTATCCAGAATCATCTATAATATGTACATATGATTACTTTTTTCAGAGGAGTTTAGCAGTTTTTAAAAATAAGATATTTTACATTCTTTTACTTGTACTGTCTTTGTTTTTGTTGTTAATCCTCACCTGATATTTTCCCATTGATTTTTAGGGAGAGTGGAAGAGAGGGGAAGAGACAGAGAGAGAAACATCGATATGAAAGAGACACATTGATTGGTTGCCTCCTGCACACTCCCCAATCAGGGCCGGGGATCAAACTTGCAACCAAAGTACGTGCCCTTGCCTGGAATCGAACCCAGGAAACCAAAACACAAATAAATGACAGAATCATTATTTTTCTCAGTGAAGAATGGATTCATTCATTTTCATTTTTTTTCAGCAAATGTGCATAGGACCTACCATGTGTAACAATCATCTGGGCAGAAGTGATGATGGTGGGTTGTAGGGAGAGGCAAACAAGCCACCCTAGGGAGCTAACCAGATGCAATAGAGTGCGGGGATCAAGAGCACAGATGTTGGAGGCAGGCCAGTGGGTTCAAATCCCACCTCTGCCAATCACTTACTAGCTGTGGGATCTTGGGACGTCACTTAACCAGTCTGTGCCTTGGTTGTACCTCCTCATCTGTACTTCAAAGTTGTTGTGAAGGTTAAGTACAGTGGTTGCCACAGGATAAGAGTTGCATGAGTGTTAACTGTTATTCCAGTCGGTGAGACCAAGAAGAAATAAAATAAGTTGTGATAAGGGCCCTGAGGCTATGTTTCCAAAAAAGGCGTGAGATGGAGTATAACAGAAGTAGAGCCCGGCCGGTGTGGCTTAGTGGTTGAGCATTGACCTATGAACCAGGAGGTCACGGTTTAATTTGGTCAGGGCACATGCCTGGGTTGCGGGCTCCATATCCAGTAGGAGGCATGCAGCAGGCAGCCCATCAATGATTCTCTCTCATCACAGATGCTTCTAGCTCTCTCTCCCTCTCCCTTCCTTTCTGAAATCTACACTAATAAAAGAGAAACATGCAAATTGGTGTCACTCTGCTATGCCCACCAGCCAATCGGAGCAACTATGCAAATTAACCCAACAAAGATGGTGGTTAATTTGCATACGCAGGCGTGGAGCTGAGACTGAAGGCTCTGGCCAGACTGAAGACTGAAGAGGCTTGGCTTCTCTGCTGTGACCGGACCAAAGGCCTGAGTCCCAGGTGCCGGAGGAAAACTGGTGCCGGCAGCCAGGGGAAGGAAGGCCTATTGCATGCATCTTCATGCAACGGGCTTCTAGTCAATGATAATAATAATAATAAATAACAGAGCTGGAGAGGTGGACAGAAGACCTTCTCTAGCCAGGGTGGTTCAGGAATCGCTCTCTGAGCAGCTGACAAGGAGCTAAGCAGGGTGGTGACAGGAGGCTAGTTAAGACAGGGCAGGCCAGGGCGGGGGAGGGAGCGATCCAGGGAGAAGGGACATGCCCCAAAGCTCCGAGGAATGAAGGAGTGTGGCCTATTGAAGGAATGGAAGAAGACAATGGGGCTTTGAAGATGGGCAAGGCCAGTTCATGTAGGCTTTGTAGGCCCTGGCAATGAGTTTGGATTTTATGCAAAATGCAATCAGCACAGGGTTTTATGCAAAGGGGGGTGGCTTTCATCCAATTTATATTTCATGCAGCTCGCTCCAGAGAATGGGTTGTAGGACAACAAGAGTGGTGGTTGGTGTCGATGAGCAAGGGAGAGGCCATGGTGGTCTGGACCCAGTGTTGGCAGTGGAGATGGTGAGTCATTCCCCCGGGAGATGGATCCTGGAGGCAGGACTGAGCTTGCTGGTGGATTGGACCCACGATTGTTGCTGAGGTAGAACATAGACACAGCCCTGCTCCACAGTGAGTCCTGAAGGTGGGTGGTGGGTGGAGCACCCAGTATAGCTCAGACAGGCGCCTCCTAGTGGGGCTCTGATGGATGAACACAGAGAACACCAGCCTTGCGACTTCAGTGCCTGTCACACCGTGTTCCACCCAAACCCTCAGGCTGCCCACGGCTGGCTCAGGTCAGGCCCAGTGACTGAGTTAGTTCCGCTGAGCCCCAGGCAGCAGCCACAAGGGGAAGTTTGTTTCCATTTTCCCCAGGAGATGAGACCACAGTTCAATATGCCCAACCGTGGACAGAACAGATGTCAAACACACAGAAAGCCAACACTTGGGGGGAGACAGAAACCAGGAGCCCCTGGAACCACCCTGCTTCCTCCTCTCGGGGTTTCAGGGAGCGAGAGGTAGGCTCTGTGTTTTCTCTGAAAGGACTCTCAAAATACCTGGGAACCAAGATCCCTCACCCCCCCTTCTTTCTTGGATAATTTCTGGAAGCAAAAGAACTTACCTTTGTTGACTAAATATTGTTAAAATTAACTAAATACTAGAATGAACACGAGGTTTACTCAAAACCACCAAGTCACTGGAGCTGCAGGAGGCTGACCCAAAATCACTTGCTGTGTGAGGTTCCCACCCCGATTTTATAGTTTATAAAGCTCTGCAGATCCCATGGCGAGTGGGAAGGGCGGGTGGGGTTAGAATTTAGATTGTTGTACAATCTTTCTCAGCAAGATGAGCTTAGCCCAATGAGACACGTCTAGGACTTGTTATTCCTAGGCCACGGATGAACTTGGAGAAAGAGTGATACTCGGCCCTGGTTTCTGTCTGTGGGGTCACCTCCCGTGTAACACAAGCACAGGAGGGGTTGGTGGATTCCAAGCAGAGTAAAGGGATCCCTCAGTCTTCTTGCTAAAGCCTTTTCCAAGCAAAAACCAATGTCCTTCCATCTTTTGGGGATTTGGAGTTGCCTGCTTGCTTGGATTCTGCCACAAGTGTGGGAGTTTTTAGTTTTTGTTTTGTTTGTAACAACTAAACCCAAAGAAACTTCACTAGAGCCCCCTGGCAGCAGCTGTCTGTCAATCGGTTCTGATTCCCCAGGCACCTGCCTGCCTGCCTGCCTCTGGAAGGAGGTTACCTGGGTGGGATCACTGGGTGGCGGTCAACAAATTGTCGTAGCCGGATGGCGGTCATGATGAGTGGGATTCTGAAAGAAAAAAAATGTGAAGAATGTTCCTGTGGCAAGTTTATATACATTTCCAGGTGAGAGCCACTTGGTACTACGAAGTCCTTCTTAAAAGTAGAGATCACTGGCTGGCGTGGCTCAGGGGTTGAGCATTGACCTATGAACCAGGAGGTCAGGGTTGGATTACCAGTCAGGGCACATGCATGGGTTGCAGGCTCTGTGGGGAACCGATATAGGGTTGAGCCTCAGACTGACCTGCTGGCAAAGTCACAAACAAGTCCCAGCTTAGAGGGCTCAGTCCTCTTAGCATAATTAGGTTTGACCTTATAACACTCCCTAGATCTTATCTGGGAAGCTAATGGGCTGAGGAAAGTGCAGGAAGTGTAACTATGGTCAAAACAGGTGAAACTCACAAGAACTGTGTAACTATGGTGACCACTGCCTTGTTTACCTCTGACTATAAAAGGTTGATGCGGCCTGAGCACCGGTGGAAGTCCTTCCTCCTGAGTTGGACTTACCCGCCTGGCCCCCAATATTCCCAGATTATCTCTTCTCTTTTCTCTTTCATTTGTGTGTGGCTCCTCTTCTGATCCTGAACCCTCAACCACGTGGGACATGGAGGGAAACATTTACAACATCTGGTGCCTGAACAGGGACTTGTTTGTGACTTTGCCAACAGGTCAGTCTGAGGCTCAACCCTATATCGGTTCCCCACGGAGCTCGATCCCCAGTAGGAGGTGTGCAGGAGGCAGCCGATCCATGGTTCTCTCTTATCATCGATGTTTCTATCTCTCTCTTCCTCTCCCTTCCTCTCTCTCTAAATATCAATAAAAAATAGAGATCTTCTGCCTGACTATTTAGGGAAGGAAATAGACTAGAAAAGGAGCATAAAGACACGGAAGTGTAAACTAATGCATGCAGATATGTTTTTCTTTTTTATTTTAAAACTAGAGGCCCAGTGCACGGATTTGTGCACTGGTGGGGTCCCTCGGCCTGGCCTGTCGAAATCTGGGACCACTTGGGAGATGCTGGAGGCGGAGGGACCCCATGCACCGGGCCTCTAGTATGCAATAAGATCTTTGGTTAATCTCTTCCTGACCTCCCCCTCCCCTCTTCCTCTGAGATTCATCACTCTGTTCCATGTTTCCATGCCTGTGTGTTGAGCGTCTGCCCCCCCTGGCGGTCAGTGCGCATCATAGATACTGGTCAAATGGGTCTCTTAGACATATATATATATATATATATATATATATATATATATATATATATAGTTATCAATTTCAGAGAGGAAGAGAGAGATAGAAATATCAATGATAAGACAGAATCATTGATCAGTTGCCTCCTGCACACCCCCTACTGGGGGTCAAGCCCACAACCAGGCATATGCCCTTGGCTGTAATTGAACCCGGGACCCTTCGGTTCACCAGCCGATGCTCTATCCACTGAGCCAAACCAGCTAGGGCGCTTTTCTTTAAAAGCAAAAAAAAAAAAAAAAAAAAAATACTGTGCCAGTGGGGCACTTAGCCCCCTCCCCAGCCTTGTTAGGGTGCCTTCCCGCTGCACCAGCTTTCAGGCTGAGCACTACATTTCCCAGACTCCCTTGCAACTAGAGTTCTGATATGAAGCTGATTCCTCCAATCAGTGTAGAGAAGGTGTGGGGGTGGGGTGCTTGCTCAGAATTGTGACCCATCACCTGGGTCCCCTTAGGGTCAGACAGCAGCCAGGCTGCCTGGAGGATTGCTCTCTGGCAATTGCTCCCAACTGCCTTTGAGCACATGTGTTGTGAGAGGACGTGTAGAAAAGGGTCTTCAGTAACGGAGTTCCTTTGCCAGTCTTCTATTGCTTCTGTTTTCTCAGGAAGCCAGTCTTCCCGGTTCAGGAAGGTTGGTTACCCACCTCTTCCTCCCTTTCCACCCTCCCCCAACCCTTCTATGAATTGCTTTTCCCTTCTTCCTTGTCCAGTCTAAATTCTGCCAGTTCTTCAAGGCCTTATTCAAGGCCTCTGTTCTGATTTCCAAGTGGCCCATTGCCTGCCTCTGAATTCCCAGAGCCCTTGATGAATCCTATTAGGCATTTTGGTTCTCAGATCTTTCCTCATTGGTTTATTAATTCATTTACAAAACTATCATTTAAGAAACTATTTAGTGAGTGACAACTTTGCCCGTGTGTGGACAAGGCTCTAGAGCAGCGGTTCTCAACCTGTGGATCGAGACCCCTTTGGAGGTCGAACGACCCTTTCACAGGGGTCGCCTAAGACCATTGGAAAACACATATATAATTACATATTGTTTTTGTGATTAATCACTATGCTTTCATTATGTTCAATTTGTAACAATGAAAATACATCCTGCATATCAGATATTTACATGACGATTCATAACAGGAACAAAATTACAGTTATGAAGTAGCAACGAAAATAATGTTATGGTTGGGGGTCACCACAACATGAGGAACTGTATTAAGGGTCACAGCATTAGGAAGATTGAGAACCACTGGTCTAGAGATTCTTCAAAGAAGAAGACATGAGTTTCATACAGTGCCTTGCCTGTCCAGCTGCAATGGAAACTTCTAGATGCCGGAACCATATTGTTTTGGTGGCCAGTATCTCCACTCTCATTGCCCTCCTACCTCATTGGTGAGAAGTGTTTCACACCCAAGGAAGTGCTCTATGCATCCTTTGGGATGAATGGATAAATGAAAAAAAAATTTACCAGTCAATCAACTCAGTAACCTAGTGACTCAGTTAACAGTTTTTAAGCTTTGTTCGTCTGGCATCATAGAGTCAGAGACCTTAATGGAGGTATACCCCATTTCTAAGAGAAAAATAAAATGCTGAGCTAGAACCATTCCAATAATTCAAAGTTGAGTATGAATGTTCACTTTGTAAAAGAATTCTCGTCTTTAGGAAAGGTTTGCCACAGAGTGTCTGTAAATCGTGAGCTCCAGTCTCTAGAACATTCAAAATGCGGTCAGCTATTAAGTAATGCAGCCACAAAGTGGGAGGAGAGAGGTGTGGGCAGTGAGGGTCATACCGGTGTTACCTGCTCAGGCTGCAGTAGTTGGAGACCTTCTTGCTTTAAAGAGGGGTCCTCTGGGCTGCCTCCAGGAGTTGAATACACAGCAAGGGCCCCCTGCAGAGTTAGGGGACTTGATCCCTTTACATCACTCAAAAGCTATTGTGATGCATTCTGGGTTGGACAGTTTTGCTAGGTAACGCCTTTCTTGGGCTTAAAGCCCGTAGGTGTCTTTTGATCTTTGTGAAAGCCCAGCTGAGCATGAAAGGGCGAAAGGAGTGCGGAAAGGAACACCATGTGGGCAAATAACCCAGATTACTTAATCACCAGTACGTTCTTTTCTATAAAGATTATCCAAGGACCACATAAGGTCAACGAGCTGGGTGGAGCTGGATGGGCAAGTTCTGCCCTTTGAAAGTTGGAATTGAGGAAGTAGGGCTGGCACGAAGGACAAATGAATTCAACTCTGCTGGGTCCGGGACTAGATTAGGCCTGCTCCTGCTGCTACTGAAGGCACCGAAGGAAGCTTTTCATTGGTTACCAATATGTTTAAACCAATCCGTGCGTGGAGCATCACAGTAGCACTACTGTATAGAGTAGCAAGTCATAACCTTTGAAGACCAGATGGCAAATAAGTTCATTTATCACCCAACACAAAACCAAAATAAAACATTGGTATTATCCACGGCAGGCCAGCCTGGATATAGGAACGCCTTTCAGTTAAACAGTGTCTGCAGCTATGAAGTAAAGTATTCCCATGAAATTTCAGGTGGTGGTTATGAGCGACCAGGGGCTGGGCTGGGGCTCCCACTGGGAGACTAACCTACATGGAACAACACCAAATAGTTTAATGCCAGAGTCTTGGTGAATACCAGCATTTTGTTGAAAGTAGGACAAATTTAAATATCAGAACAGAAGCAACATACTGGGCTCACAGTAGTAGAAGTGGTAAATGGTTCTCATTTGTCTGTTAACTACCTGGTATCGCTAGATCGTGTGAGCTATTGGACGTATACCGTTTTACAACTAACTGGTATCACTAGATCGTGTTAGTTATTCAACATATACCACTTTACATCCCAACCACGACCATTAAAGGTAAACATGTCCATTTGACATGAAGGCTAAGAGAGGCTAAGGACCCTGCAGGTCCTTCAAACCTAGGATTTGAATCCAGCTCGGGCTGACATTGAAGCCCAGGTGAAAGACATTTTAACCAAAATGTGTTAATTTTTAATTTTTAAGAATAAAAACCCATATTCTCCAAGAAGAAAGACAGACAAACAGAAAATTCCCATGTTCCTGGAACTATACCTGGCAATACAAAAAGTACAAAGGAAAAATGAGCGCCAGTCTCACTGGTCAGAGATGATCATTGTCCACAATCGGGAGCATCAGTTTAGATGTCATTCTGAACATAAACAGGTTGACGTTAAGTGGTAGGGAGCTTTATAAATGGAAATAATTTTAGAAAACTGGGATCATACATAACATCTCTATATATAAAAGCCTAAGCGACCGTTTGACCGTCTGACCAGTAGCTATGATGTGCAGTGACCACCAGGGGGCATATGCTCAATGCAGGAGCTGCCGAGTGACAGCAACTTTGCAGAGTGCCCTCTTGCACTCCAGGACTCCTTGGGGGATGTCAGACTGCCGGTTTTGGCTCGATCCCCGCAGGCCAGGCCGAGGAACCCTACCTGCCGGAGGGACCCCGCTCACTCCACAGACAGCCTTCGAGCCCCAGCACTGCCCCACGTGTGGCCGGCCAGGGAGGGACCGAGAGAGATTGGCTTCAGGGCATGTCTGGCCCATCTTGCCCAGTCCCGCCCAGCAAGCCACCTTCTAATTAATGTCCTTTCAATGTGCACAAATCCATGCACCGGGCCTCTAGTATATCCTATCTAATAAAAGACAAAAAGAGTAATTGACCGTACCTTCACTACGCTTCCCATTGGCTAATCAGGGCGATATGCAAATTAACCACCAACAAA